CAACAAATATTTGCTAACCACCGTTATATCCCACTGTGCTGGGCCTCAGTATGCAGTGGCGGACACAACAAAAGAAGCCTCCATCCCTGAGGTGTGTTGGGGTGACAGGCAGAGAACAGGCTGGCAAGTAGCGGTCCCAGATGTGAGCCAGGATGTGTGCTGTGGGAGGGCCAGGAGTGTGCCTGGTGTGGGGCTCAGGGCCCGCAGCATGTGGCATTTGGGCTGGGCTGAGAGCTGTCAGAGATTGCCAGCCTGAAGCATTCCAGACCCATCAGGTCTCACGAGGAAGGAGCGTTACGGGGAAGGTGGGTATCATGTGGTTGGTGTGAGCCAGCACTGTCACCTGGCCCAGGCTTCCTTGCAGCCACCTTCTCTGACCCAGGCACATCTCTGCTTCCTTTTCTGACCCTCTGCTCCTTGAGGGTTAGCAGGGTACAAACCAAGGAGTGTGTGTGCCTGGGCCTGAGTCTGACCACACAGAGGTGGCTCCTTTCACAAGGACAGTGTGTTACCCTGCACTTGTGGACAGCCTTACACTTCCATCTGCTGGGCAGCTGGTGCTGGCTTTACTTGTCCTCCTTCATTTACCAAATTCATTTACCAAATTCTACTTAGAGGTAGAATGTTTTAAAAATTTAATGAGTCGCGGGCCGGGGATTTAGCTCAGTGGTTCTGGTGCCTTCCTCGAAAGCGCAAGGTCCTGAGTTCGATGCCTGGTACCAAAAAAGAAAAAAAGAAAAAAAAAATTCAGTGAGTCATGTTTAACCCCCCCCAAGGCTAGGGTTGTAGCTCAGAGGCAGAGCACTTTCCTACTGGTTCCGCCTCCAGCCCTGGAGGATGAGGTGGTCTGTGTGTGATCGTGGATCTGCGATTCGTTCTGAGTATACCATCAGTGTCTCCGCTGTTACATTGGTTGCATATTTTTTGAGGTATAGTTTATATTCATCACTTCTTTGATATTATGATAGCTGCTCTACCTGCTGTCAGGTCCTGTCATTTAATACGTTAACAAACAGACACAAATATTATTTTTATCATCATTTAAAAGTTATTTTGGGGCCGGGGATTTAGCTCAGTGGTTCCGCCACCTGCCTTGCAAGCACAAGGTCCTGAGTTCGATCCCCAGTACCAAAAAAAAAGGTTATTTTGGTGTTGTACTTCAGAGTAATTGGTTGCCTTAACATTGCCTTTTTTGTATTCACTGAACATGTGGCTTTCAGAGGAGTCTGTGGAGTTACCCATTCCACAGGCTTTGGCCAGAAAAACTGTGCCAACTCCTCATGGGAAACCTCACGTTGGAAATATGAAGGTGCTCATTGCAATGCTAGCAGGGATAAGGGCTGCCTTACTGCATTCTGTGGATGGCCTGAGCACCCGAGTATGTTAACCACCTCTCCATGACCACCCTGCAGGCAGGGCACAGGGGAGCCCTCCTGCAGATAAGAAAACTGAGGTGCAGAGGGCCACACAGCCACAGGTCCCAGTCAGAGGGAGAAGCAATGAGCCTGCATCTTCTCGAGGTCCCTGGCTGTCAGCTCTACCCCAGCTTCCACAGAACATTGAGATGACTGGCAGCCACAGAGAGGTTACTGTTGATCTCAGACCTCTGTTTTCTGAGGTAAGCCTCTCCTTAGTTTCTGACCAACTTTCCCTCTTAGAGGAGGAGTCTGGGATGCTTTTGTACTGAGCTCTGGTATAAAAGCCAGGCTGAGATTCAGAGAGACCACCTGGCCCTTGGGGAGTGACATCCATCAGGCCAAAGGACAGCAGGCATCCCAGGCATGGCTGTGGCCTGCAGCAGCAGCTGTCGTTCCACACCCAGCCCTTCACGCACCTTGCAATCAGTACTGCCCAACGGGTGATCAAGGATCTGCTCCAGGACATGTGCCAAGCCCGTCCATCTGGCTGCACAGAGTGAGGGACTGCAATGCAGGGCAAGGTGTCCCTCACTCTGGCCAGGCTCTGGCCAAGGACATGGCTGCTGTGCTGCTCTGATATTTGCAGTCTGCACCAGGCTCGCTTTCTGTTTTTCTTTGTCTCCTCGGGGACACTGGACCTGAGCAGGCTCCTTTATTTGGCACTTAAGTGTTTGTCCTCTTAAGACAGGATCACCTCCAGGTCCCACAGTCACACATCGTAGTCAGGAGGTGCCATGCACGCTGGCTCTGACTTGGCAGCAAAGCAGGTCTGGATCTGAAGACCCTGCGCACTGCTACCTGCAGCAGGTTGGTGAATAAGCTGCGAGCCTTAGAAGGCCCAGAGGTGATGAGGTGCTTTATGTGACTTGTGCTACTTAAGACAGCTTCACCGAGATATAGTGTGCATACCATACAGTGCCACCATCCAAAGTATGCAGTTACATGTCAGTATGCACAAACATACTGTGCACACCTATAATCATTGCTCAACGGGAGGCTGAGGCAGGAGGATTGCAAGTTCAAGGCCAGCCTGGGAAGCTTAGTGAAACTTTGTCTCAAAAAATAAAATAAAGTGAAAGGGACAGGGAGTGGATCTCTGTGGTAGAGCACTGGGTGCAATCTCCAGTACCAACGAAAAGAAAGAAAAGAAAAGAAGCCCCATACCCTTGAATTATCTATCAACCGTTGCCCCACCATATCCCTCCCTGCTTATGTTGCTATAGGCTTTCCCATCCGGGCTGTCTCCCTTGAATGGGATCAGACTACATGTGGGCTTCTATGCCTGCCCCTGGCACCTGGCAGCATGTTTCAAGGGTCTGTCTGTGTGGCGGCGTCATCAGCTTCATGTCTGTCCATGTCTGGACAGTATTCTGGTATTGGTTAGGCCGTACTTTATCATTTCATCAGTTGATAGGCATTGGACTATTTCTACCTGGGCTGCTATGGTTACTGCTGCTGTGAGTATTCACATACAAGTGTTTGCATGGACATGTGTTTTCATTTCTCTTGGCATTTACCTAGGTGTGGAATTCCTGGGTCATACGTGAGTCCAGATGTAGTTGCTTGAGAGGAATGGCCTCACTGCCTTCCAAATGGGCTGCACCATGTTCCTTTCCTACCACCAGGTTCTGATTTCTTCACATTCTTGCTAACATTCAGTACTATCTGCCTGCTTTTGATTATGGCCAACCTAGTAGGTTCAAAACGAGAAGCAGAGTCCTCTGTGTGTTTTGGGGTTTTTTTGGTACTGGGGATTGAACTCAGGACCTTGTGCTTGCAAGGCAAGCAGCGGAACCACTGAGCTAAATCTCCGCTCTGCTCTGTGTGGTTTTGATTTGCATTTCCCTGATGACTGATGAGGTCAGGCATTTTTTCATGCTCTTATCACCATTTGTATTTACTCCTTGGAGAATAGTCTGCTCAGATCCTTTGCCCATCTTTGAATTGTCTTTTTTGCAGTGAACACTGTGAGCTCTTTATATATTCTAGATACAATTCCTTGTCAGATATATAGTTTGTAGATATTTTCTTCCCTTTTGAGAATTGTTTTTTCACTTTCTTGATGGTGTCTTTTGGAGCACAAAAATTTCAATTTTAATAGTCCAATTTATCTGTTTTTTCTTATTGCCCATGCTTTTGGTGTAACAGCTAAGAATTCATTGCAAAATCCAAGGGCGTGGAGATTTACTTCTGTTTTCCTAGAAGTGTTTTATGGTTTGGCTCATATACTGAAGTCTGTGATCCATTTCAAATTAATTTTCTATATGGTGGGAGACAAAGGGCCATGCCATCTTTTGCATGTGGACATCCAGGTGTCTGAGCACCATTTGTTGAAAAAGATGATACTTCTCCATTGAGCAGTCTTGGCATCTGTGTTAGCCAGCTTCCCATCTCTGTGATAAAACACCTGACATAAACAACTTTAGGGAAGAAAGGCTTACTTTGGCTCATGGATTCAGACTTTTCACTCTGTGGTCTGCTGGGTTCATTACTTGGGGCTGGAGGCAAGGCACAGAGAGCATCATGGCAGTGGAAGTGTATAGAGGAGGGTGCTCACCTAGAGGTAGCCAGAGGTAGAAAGAGACAGAGGACCCAGAGAAGAAGTGATTGGAGACAATGTATAGTCCCCAAGGCCACATTCCATTACTGCCTCTCTGGGGATCAAACTCAGGACCTTGCGCTCTCCCTCTCTTCAAGTAGGCCTTACATTTATGGGCCGTGTCTCTTCAGCATCATGTACTGACTTGGTCCCTTAGTGGAGAGTTGGTGGAGACAGGAAACAGTATACACTACAGATGTATTCTTGACAAGAGTTGCCAATGTCTGTCCTCAGAGGGGCTCCTTTAACCCACCATGGGGACACATTGCTCACTGAGACTGGAGTCACTCATTGGAGTCAGCACACCAGGTCTAATGGAGCTGGACACTCTGACTTGGGCCCAGTGGGGCTACCACATTCAGGCTTGTGCCTGGAGCTGCACAGTGAACACCTGGAGGAGCCAGATGGAGGGTCTGGCTGTTTTGCAACTCCACCAGGTGGTAAGAAAGGTGTCTGTAATGCGGAAGGCCATACTCCACACTCCAGGAGTGTGTTCCAGCATGGGACCAGCTAGCGTCAAGGTCACGGGCCAACCTTGGGCCTGTGGTCTTACTTTGGCTTCAGTGACCAGCACTTGTCATGGGTCATGCCTGTCTTTGTCCATCCAGAATGACCTGTCTGCTTCTATGGAGAGCAGTCCCATGCCTTCAAGGGGAGCCCTTGATGTGTGAACTCACATCCAGGTGTGAAGGGGCTGTACTTGCCAGGCCATGGGCTGCAGACTTCCCATGTGGGGGCCCTGCCCATGGTTCACCATGGCCCTGGGCCTCTGGGTTACAGATTCAAGGCAAACAGCACTGAGCAGTGCTCTTTATAGTCGGGGTTAGATATGTGACTTAGCAACAGAAAGTGATTCCAGCTGTCCTGTGCACGGGGTTCATTCCTATTACCCCACCCTGGCCCTGAGCCCATCAGGGACCATCTCTGAGATTCGAAGCTGGTGGCTCTGCTTGGGCATTTGGATTAACCCAAGGACAGGACTGTGTGCGCTCCACTCGGTGCCCTCCCCACAGCACTTCCTGCCTCCTTCCTGGATCACACACCCTGGGCTTGAGGCTCCACTGTTGATTTATTGTGATCTGGAAACCACCGTGAACTGTGAGACAGGAGCAGGCTAAAGGCTTTTAAATGTTCGAGTGCTTCTGTGAACAAGACCTTCAGGCAATGGTCATCATCCCCACAAGCTCGCACATAAAGGGAGTGATGTGAAGCCCCAGGAGCCTGGAATAGGGCTTAGGGCTGGGTGTTTGCAGGGTGGGCTGCAGAGGCACACAGGCCTTGCCCCCCTAGCTCCTCCAAGAACAGAGCTCCAGGGGCCAGGTCCTGCTCTGAAGCCTGACAGGGACTTGCCAGTGCTCCTGGGTGAGATGACACCTTTGGGGACTGCTCAGCCTGAGGTCGTGGCTTGGGCACACCTTGCACTGCCATGGTCTAGCTGCAGTCTTGGCCAACTTCTGCCTCTTCAGTGTGCCTCACTTTCACCATCTGTGCAAGAGAAGAGCAACAGCGCCACCTCCCAAGGGTAGAGAACCACGTGGTGCAGTTTACAGCAGCTCTGATGAGGGGACCCTTTCTTACAGTGACTGGGGACTAGGATCGGGGAGGGATAGGGTTAGTGGGGCGTTGGTTCAGGCCACTGTGGGAGGCACCCCCAACATAGGATTCCTAGAGGATGGGAGCCTCTGCTCTTCAGTTCATCTGCTTCTCTCATATCATGCCCTGGACCCTGGCAGGGGGCGGGAGCCTCTTTCTTACCTCCCGTAGGTGGAGTCATTTTGACAGTCAGTCTGTCCCCTGGTCCTCATGATGGTGGCCACCTTCTCCAGGAGCAGGCGGTTATCCCTGTCAATGGTAGAGATCCGCTCCTCCTCCATCTGTGGGCAGAGGGAGTCTAAGGGAGTGGAGCTTCCTTTCTGCACATTTGGCCCTGTGGATCCTGCACCCGCCTAGCTGCTGCTGTCAACAGAGGCTGGGGCAAGAGCCATGGGCTAGGATGTGCCAGGGTGGAGCCATAGGAATAGCAAGGATTTGCGGTGTCCCCTAGAATTAGGTCGTTCTCTAAAACTGACATGCAGCCATCATGCTGATGAGATTATTTCATATTTTAAGAGAGATGATAGACATACTTCATACTATGCAGGAGAAGAGGATGTTTGAACCTGGGGAAGGAATGTGCCCTCCATTTTAAGCTTTTGTGTTGGCTGCTCTGCTGGTTTGCTCAAGCCCGACTCGTCTGTGCAGCTGATGACATTGTTACCCAAGGGGCACAAAGGGGCAGATGATGCATGGCCATGGAGACATTGCTATGAGCAAAACCATGAAGTTCTCACTCAGAAATGGCCTGAACTTCAGAAATAAATGTTCTGAGGTGGCCAAGAAATATTCCAATCTAAAGCAATGATGCCAAGTAACAATTCTGGGTTCGGCTATGTAAGTGGCCACTGTGACCAGCTGTCTTGTGTCTCAGACATGATGGAGCAGTGTGAAGCCCAGTGGAAGACATGCAGGACTGGGTCACTGATTCCAGATGCCTCTTCCTCGGGCTGTCTAAAGTCCACACATATGGGAGACTAAGACATTGGGTGAGGGGAAGCTGAGCAGTTACCTTGAGCTTCTTGAGCTTCAGATGGAGGTGGTAGAAAGTGGGGGGCATGCAGGTGTCCACCAGAGGCTGGGCATTCTGGACCTGGGGTACAGAGCAGATGGTGAGGCCCAGGACTGGTTCAGCAGATCACTGAAGTGGGCTTAGCTGTGCAGAGTTTAGGGTACAATGACTGGGGACACTGTTAGTTATGGAGCCAGGGTTCCAAATCAGCTACACTAGAAAATTCTGAGAGTTCTGATTTGAAATAGAAAGGAATGTTGCCTGGAGAGGATGGGCAGCCCAAAGAAAGTTTACATTCCACTGGAGAACCTAGTGAGTACAGTGTGAGGTATGTAAGTGCTAACAATCACCAAACTATCTTGTGCAGTATACTGCAGGACAGCCTTCGTGCAGTGAATCAGAAGCCCTCCATGGATGAACGAAATGGAGGAATCCCATCCTGTGCCATCACCACATTGTCAGCAGTACTCAGAACCAGTGCCCTCAACGCTAGCAAAACAATCTCTCCAGTGTGTGTTGTTAAAAATTGTGCATCTAAGTGAAAAACACTTATTTTAAACTTACTAGACTAGATCAGTGATGCAAACCTTTTAGAACTTTCAGTGACAACGAACATCTAGCTGAGGCATGCATGCCATAGGTTCGCCACCCTTGACTAGATGCATGTGGTCTGTGTGTATTATTGTTTGCAATAATAGGAATCCACTCTATTGAAGATCTTTGACTTCCAGAACCTACAGCTGATAAGAGAACTGCAGTGCAAATCAAAGCACATCTAAAGGACAAGGTACAAGACCACACCCATGGCCCGATGATTGATGGACAAAGGCCTGATGCAGTGAGGTATCAGGAGGGGCAGCATGTGGGGTATTCTGGGACCACTCAAGGAGAGGCAGCAGTGGGCAGTGCTGTGGCCACCAACTCTGTCCCTGTGCAGGAAAAGGCAAGACTGAGGCAGGCAGAATCCGTGGTGTAGAGTTGGCAGATGTTGGTCTGGCTGTGAGGTATGGATGGGGCTGGGTGAAGGGAGGGGAAGACAGGTTCCCATGACCCTGGGGATACCTGGTGACCCCAAGTCAGACTGAGGTGGTGAGTGAGGTTGGGGCATAGATGCTGTAGGATAATCTGGTTCACCCTGTGGAGCTCCCAGAACATGTGCTCAGGATCTCGAACAGATTTAAGACTCACCACTGTTATTAGAGATACAACCCTAGCTTGCCTCACTGTAGAGCAGTATCGACCATGCTCGAACAGCCTGTCTCATGTCCCATCTACCGCTGACACTGGGCACTGGGCGAGCATCTTCCCTGGGGAAGGGCTGGGGTGGATGTGGAAGCCATCACGGTCGAGATCAGTGTGGGCAGCGTCAGTTGGCCAGAAGGAGGGCAGCCCTGCAGTCGCCAAGTGAGCGCAGCTCTGTCTACGCAGAGAGAACCAGGTGCCAGCAAGACCGATGGACAGTACCAATGCCACAGAGGCACAAGGGCCATGGTGCTTCCAGCCTCGATGCTTGAGAAAAACTGGCCCCATCACTCTGTCCTTCGGTCAGGGCTGTAAAGTCTGCGTCTATGTATGAGGAAACATCAGAGAAACTCAGTGTGAGGAGTGTTCTAGAAATAAGTGCCCTCTGTTCTTAAGAAACGTCCACATCACGGCAAACAAAGGACACTTGGAGGACTGTGCCAGGTGTGAGCACCCTAAACAGATGGCACAAGCAAACCAACGTGTGGCCTGGGTTCTATGCTGGGAGGCGCTGGTGAGGGCGTCACAGGGCGATTCGGAAGCTGGAAGTGGACTGTGAAACTCACGTCCAGGCCTAAATTTGGAAACGGTGCTGTGGTTATGTAAGAGAAACTTTTCTTCCTGGAAAATATGTGGTGAGGGATAAAAAGATACTGTGTTCAACCTGCTCTCAAATTGTTCATAAATAAATAGAGAGAGATTGAGAGAGATCTGGGTAAAAGTTAAAGGACTTGCACTTAGTGTAGTATTCTTAGCACAGTCCTCTAAACTTGGAAGTTGCTTTGAAATCAAAAGGCCATTGTTCATCTCTGCTTGCTCCAGCTCCATGGCCTCCATCTTCCAGGCAGGCCCTCCCCCGGAGTCAGCTTGTCCTCCCATGTCTGTTCTGGCCCACGATGAGTGTTCCTGTAATCCACACCTTGTGTTATTTTGTGTTTTTAAATATATGGAAATAGTATCTGACCATAATCACCAGTCTGTTCTTTCTTCACTCAAGATTGTGTTTTAAACTAGTGCATAAAATTTCAAACATAAACAGAAATAGAGGAAGAGCATGATGAAGCTGGCTCCTCTCACCCACTGCCTGCCTCCAAGCTCACAGCAGAGCAAATCCAGGACGCCACAGACTTCCATCTGCTGATACTTTAATATGCGTTCCCAAGAGATAGGAAGTCTTGTCAAAAACATGATTTCTATCCCATATTTGCAATAAAAAATGGCGATGGTTCTTTAACCAAATACCTAGATGCTGTTCCCATTCCTGCTGTTATCCCACCCTGTCTCCTCCCTCCTTTGAATTAGGCTACAAGTAAAATTGTCCATACACTGCAATTGATTGATAGGGATCCATTGAATGTAGTTGCCCCACTACCCCACCCCCAGAAACCAGATCATTTGCCCTGTAGTTTTTCAGTCTGTACCTTGTTGATTGCATGCCTGATATTTCTGTAAATTGGTATTTAGAATTTTTCCCCTTGGCAAGAATAAATCATGGGTGGTTCTGTGACATGGTACCAGAAGGTACCAATTTCTGCTTGTTGTATTTTGGGTCATGAGGAGCAGTGGATGATTCCAGATCCAGTACTTGATTGATGATGCAACTTGATTGAGGTCGAAATATTCTAATTCCATCATTCATTCTGCATTTATTTGCTAAAATACTACAAAGACAAACTTTGCCTTGGCAGGATAAATGCCAGGTTCTCTTTATTTGCCAGGTTTTGAAATAGCAATATTTGGTGTGTTTATGTCCAGGAGGTCAGCTGATCCCATCTTAGGCCAGTGAGAGCCTGTTTCTCAGCCCGGGTCTCCTTGTCAAAACCACAGTCCTGGTGCACCTCCTGCATTGCAGCCCATTTTTTCTCTGACACTGAAATCCCTGTTTCTGAGTAATACCACCAGGATGGCTTTCTCCTCCCTGAAACACAGGAGCAGAACTGGCACTTCCACCAGTAGTATGGCTATTGACAATGCCTATGTCCTTCTCAGTGCTCTGTTGTTGGGGTCTCACTGCAAGTGTCCAAGTTACTGAGTTTAAAGGCAGCTGGACTTGTTCCTCTCAGTGTGGTTATAGCATGAGTTGTACATACACTTCGGTTCATTTTGTTCTCAATAGTTAGGAATTCTTTTAAAATTTAATTTTGCTTTGTAATATGTAAAATATTTACATGGTTCCAAAGTCAAATCTGCTGAAAGCTTCTTTCCCCAAGACACCCAGTTTCTGTCATCTTCACCCTGTTCCCAAGTCACAGGTACCCAAGTTTTACAGCTGCTTCTTGTGTTTCTAAAAATGTAAGGATATATGTATATATATAAATATATACACTTAGGGGTTGTGTGTCTCATTTCCATTCCCTCTGTTTTAGACAAACAGCATGTTTACACATTTTTGGTTTTTTTTGGTACCGGGGATTGAAATCGGGTCCTTGCACCTGTGCAGCAGGTGGCGAAATCACTGAGCTAAATCCCTGGCCCTACACATTTTTTAAAAAATTACTTTTTTTGTTAAATGGCATATATTAATTAGTCTGTTTTTTATTACTATAATTAAATAACTGAGGCAGGCCACTTTATGCAGCAAAAGAGGTTCACTTCCGATCATGGTTCTGGTCCAAAGTCCAAGGGCTGCATCTGACAATGACCTTCTCACCGGCAGAGTCTCCAGGCAGCACAGGCACCAGGTGGCAAGAGACAGGGAGCTCAGCCTGTCTTCTGGTCTCTTCCTTGCCTTATGAGGCCACCAGACTCAGTCCTGGGAGTGATCACCTACCAAAGGCTCCCTCTAAACACCTCAGTCAGACATAGTTTCCACCCTCTCAACACCTCGCCATGGTGATTAAATCCAACACACTTGGCCAGGGGACACTCACACCAGATCCAAGCCATAGCAGTCACTCCACAAAGGACTCACAGTGGTACATGGAGATGTTTTCTCTTCCTTTTTACAGCTGCATAGTATGCTACTGTGGGAAGTTTTCTAACTTACGCAGCTTCCTATTGATGGAAATTTAGATCAGTTTCAATTTTGCTATTACAAAAAGAGAAGCTACAATTAGCATCTTTTGCAGTTTGCTTTTGTGTCTTTGCCAACTACTACTGCAGTTTTATTAGATGTTGCTTGCCTCCTGCTATGCCCCACTGCATGCCCATCAGCACATTGGGATAGCACCTCGTTCCCCAGAGCACCATTAGCAACTTCTGGGATTTTTGCCAAACTCATGGTTGAGAAACTGCACTAGAGAGCAGCTTGATTTGCATTTCTCTAGTGTAAGTGAAGTTGATAAACCTTTTAAAGGTTAAGAGCTACTTGTAATTCTTTAAACTTACCTATTTTCATATGGGACAGTTTGCATTTTTCTTATTTTTAGTTCCTGGTATATAAGGGTAGTAACTCTTTATCTGCGATATAAGTAAGAATTATTTTCCCAATTTATATTTGGGGTTTTTAACTTTGCTTATTTTTTGTGCCTTGCAAAAATATACCTTTTAATTTATCAATTTTTTCTCTTCTTACTTCTGGGTTTTGAGTTATGGTTGATAAAATTTTCCCACTCCCAAGTTACAGGATAGTTTCCCCATTTTTTCTGGTGGTACTTGTACGGTTAGTTTTTATATTTAAATCTCCAATCCATGTGGAACTTGACCCTACAGAGTGTGTGTGGTGAAGATTGCGTTGCTTACTCTTGGAGGCCATGGTGAAGCACGGCTGGGGTCTGGGTCTGGGAAGCAACTAGCCAAGGGGTTGGACAGTGGACAACATGGCAAGGGCAGCAGAGCCTGTGGGACATGGCCTCAGAAGACGAACAATGAAGTGCTGCCCTGGGAGGTGCAGAGAAGGG